TCTTCAAGCTTCAACGGGTGCTTGAAAAACCGGTACAACTTGAGAACTTGAATCACACAAGCCTCACTTTCTTACAACAACAAGACTTGAGTCACACAAGTCTTAAGAACAACACTCAAATGAGATTGAGTTTACAACACAAGAATGAAAGCTCACACAATTGAGCAAAGTAGTGTTGAAAGATTTAAGCTCTATGGATTACAACTTCTATAGCACTCAAAGAAAAAATATTTCTAACTCTCAAAAATAATATTTTGATGAGGAAGATGAAGCAAAGTATGAATAGCTCAGGGAAATATGTTGGAGTGCAAGAGGTGTGTTGAAATGAAGGAGAATGAGGGATTAAATAGGTTGAGAAGAATAAAGCCGTTGAAGAAAGCTGATGTTCTGTACCAGAGAGAATTAATCGATTAAATTAGGAATTTTAATCGATTAAAGTGTACAGAAACGAAAAGCCTGAAAAGAAAGCTGAATAATAATCGATTAAATGAAGGCAAATAATCGATTAATAGGCTCTGTCCGAACTAATCGATTAATTGCTGAGAAATAATCGATTATTGTTCAAAAATGAGCAGCCCTACTGAAAGGCTAAAAATCGATTAAAATGAAGCAAAAAATCAATTAGGAGGTTCTGTCCAAGCTAATCGATTTTTTTTAGAGAAAAAATCGATTAAGAATTCAAACCTGAAAAATTGCGCTGGATCTAATCGATTATTTTAAAGGAAATAATCGATTAAAATGAAAATAATGCGCAAACACAAAGGGCCCAAGCCAAGTGCGATTGGAAGCACTTTGGCTTCTAACTAGTTGTTTGGGACAACGAGAATAAGAAGGCGCTCCTACGATTATATCTCCCTTATTCAATGAATTTGAGTAGGGGAGAGAAAAAGAGAGTCCAAAAATTATTTTGTGTGTCAAACAATACACGAAAAAAAATTTAAAGTATATTTTTCTCAGCAAAGAAAATTGTGTAACTTTAAGAAAATGTTTAAAGAAATTTTGACACACTTATTTTGAGATTGACACACTAAAATATTTTAGACAGAGAATAAATGATTTTTCAACTGACTCAAAAATAATTTTTATCCCTCAGAAATTAAATTGTTTTGTGCACAAGATATTGTCATCCTTACAAGAATCCTAGACTCAATAAAAATTAAAAAGTCTTCGGAGTCTTCACATCACTTCGAAAAACTGCGTTGGGGGACCGTTGATTTTTATCCCGTAACTTTCTTGATACGCCTCTTTTCTTTTCTCGGTACGAAAAGTAAATTTTCGATCATCGTTTGAATTTCATCATCCTGTTTGTCATTTATCAAAACAAAAATATTCCAGAAAAATAATAAAGGGGTTTGAACTCATGTCCAACAAAAAGGAATGTAAATTGTGTGTTAAAAATGACCAAGGATGGTTAATATTTATAGGAAAAGAGAATTTGGGCCCTTGGTGTTCAAAAATATGGTTGTTGGGCATTGAATGAGGTTCCCAACGACTATGATTTTTGAACTGCAACAGGCTTCCCAGCGATGGTAAGGTTCTCCCATCGATGGGAAGACAGGTACTGGAAAGGGAGGAAAAAGTGAAGGCAGTCTTCCCAGCGATGGTTAGGTTCTCCCATCCATGGGAAGACAGATATTGGAAATTCGTTAAAAAAAAAATTTTTTTTAAGTGTCAAGCACCCAGCGATGGGAAGAGGGCTGCTGGTTAGAAAATACTTCCTTCCCAGCGATGGGATAAACCACCCATTGCTGATTCCCCCTGAGTTCCTCACTTTGATACGTACCTGCAAAAAACAACACTTTGGTACCCAAAGTATGTCTATGGGTCCTTGGGGGTTAGTTAACCTTTATTGCCCACACACACACACCCAAAATTCGTTTCCTTACACGCGCGCACACACACACACGATTAGATGATCGTTTAGGAGTTACCTTGGCCAACCCATGATCTTGTGGTTGGCGGGTTCCAGTCTACCTGAACGGAGTGCCGATATCTCGGTGTGATTTGTGTTGGTTCCGGTAACGGAATGTGGACTTTCTTCTTTTCGTCAAAGTAGAAGAAATAGTAAGGTTTCTTTTGTGCATTATCCTGTGGAGATTGTTTATGATACGAATATCCTTTTCCAAAGGATTTCTTTTTGTTAGCACCAAATATGTTGTGTGTCTCATTATAGGTGAAGTGCCTATGTCTGGTAAAACACACGGGAGCTATATGTCCTACCCTATTGCAATAATGGCATACTACGTTTGGGTTGAACATATGCCTAGGTTGATAATAGCTAGGGGGCCTAACCGTGTTTGTCCTATTTTGAGAAAAAGATGATTTATGCATGTTTTCAAAAGGATCATTTCTAGGTGTTCTCATATTGTCTCTTCTATTTTGAGAAAAATTATTTTTATGCACAAAATCATTTTGATAATTTTTCTTAGGTTGTCTACCATGAACGTTTTCATTCCTAGGTTTTTGTCTAGGTTGTCTAGTGTTCTTAGATTGACTAGGTTTTCTATTAACTTGATTTTAAGCTTTCTTACATTGAGCCTTAGGAGGTTAACTAGGAGTTTGCTCAACGTTTTCTTTATCATTAGCTTCTTTTTTATTAAAACCTATTCCTTCTTTAGAAAAGTGCATAGTGTCAAGGACTAAATTAAGATCTTTGTGCGGAGTGTTAGTCGGTTTAGACGTTGTGCCCACGCCTTAGAGGGGGGGTGAATAAGGCGTTTGAAAACTTTTCGGAGTTTGATAAAAACGATGTTGGCAAATGCGGAAGCAATAACTAAAACGCAGAAATAAAAGCGTAAATAAAATGCACACCGATTTTATACTGGTTCAGGAAACCCCTACTCCAGTACCTCGAGGCTCCTCCTCAAGGATTTCCGAATCCACTAAGTCTCGGCCTCTTGAACTCCGTCAAAGCACCGCACTAGTTTTGGCAAACAACCCTTGCCAATAGGATTCACTCCGAGATTTCACAACGGCTATCTCGAACCGTTTACAATGAAGATTTAACGGCTATCTTCTACCGTTCCCCCAAGGATTTCAAAGGCTATCCTTGAACCTTTACCCAAGGATTTATACGGCTATCCTTGACCGTTACAACGTGAGAATTTAACGGCTATTCTCGACCGTAAGAAGGTGTGTTTGAAGAACACAAAAGAGGATTCTACACAACGGCTAGAATATAAAAATGAAGAACAAAACTTAGCCGGTGTAGAAAGAAAGTATACTCTCTCAAAAATACAATTCAAACTTATGAATATGAGAGTATATAACTAGAAACACAAGCTCAAAGTGTGTGTATAAAAATTAGGAATTTAAGGCTCTTAGAATAGCCAAAAATATTGAAAATAATTAATAGAAGGATGAACACACTTGAAATAAAAAGAGAGGATGTTTAGAGCTTTGTTTCTTTTTGAAATATGAAGAATTAGGCTTGTATTTATAGTGGAAGATGTTAATTAGCCGTTGGGAGGTGATTAGGATTGATTAAATTCAAAATCACAAATCAGGAACAGTAATCCAACGGTCACGGTAGGGGGGTCCCGTCCATACGATAGGGGGGTCCCGTCCATACGGTAAGGGGGTCCCGTGCTTACGGTAGTTAGGTACCTTCTCAGGCCAAAACTCTCTGGCGGTACCTATCTTAGTACGGTACCACTTACGGTAGGGGGTCTCGTCCAGACAGTAGGGGGGTCCCGTGCAGACGGTAGGGGGTCCCGTGCTACAGTCCTGCGTTTTTCAAATATCCTTAATCCTTCGTGTTTGAGTTTAAAACATTTTAGATGTTTGAAAATGTTTATGGAATGGTTTTAAACATATTTTGTGAGTGCTTTTGAGCTTGTGAATATAGGTATATAAAGTCATATCCTTACATTGGTTTCTACCTATATTCTACGCTAGTTTAGTGTTTCGACTTCATTCTTGAGTACCGAATCTTAATGGATTCTTGTTTTTCCTGAAACACTTAAACAAACGTTAATCTCTTATATTGTTTGTTAATATCAAAACATGAGGCTTAGCAAACCAAGGCTAACAATCTCCCCATTTTAGATGTTGACAAACAATATACTTCAAAGTGAGTTAGGCGGGAGTAAAATAATGAAGCAAGTAAGCTCCCCCTAAGAATAAGCATACTGAAAATACTCACTTTGAACTTTTCTTGTGTTTATTAAAAGTTTAAATTTGATGCAAATAGTTACACAAGAATGCACTCAAGTCAAGTTGCATATGCACCGCTTTAAAGTATACATCTTCTCCCCCTTTTGTCAAAATCAAAAAGGGTATTTTGAAAATTTTAACCATGTATAACTTCTTGAAACTCTCCCCCTATCAAAATGAATTTTTAGGAAAAATGATAGTTTGGAGATCATTGGGAAAAAGGTGCATTTACAACTAAACTTCCCCTAAAAATGAAAACCCCCCCTTAAATTATGCAAGTTTTTTAAAAACTTTATTTTTCAGGGATTTTTGGGGATTATTTTATAAAAGGCATGATTTAAAATGGATTTTGAAATTATTATTTAATCATGCAAACCAAGACTAAAACAAATAAAAGCACGTATGGGATAAGGTTTTATTTTTTGAAAAGAATTAAAACCAAACAAAATATCTTATCCCAATGAGCAAGAGAAACTTACCTTGGCTTATGCCGTTCTTTTTTCGGCTTTGAGTATACTTCTTTCCAATTCACATACTTCTTCCATTTGAGGAAATCCGTATACTTCATTCTCATTGCCTTCTCTTCATCTTCTTCATCATTTGACTCTTCCGTAGAGCTTGAGTTACTTGAATCATCACTTGATTCACTTGACTCTTCACTTGATGATTCTTTGGAAGCTTTGAAGGCGTTGGTAAGCTTGGGTTTTTCACGCACTTCTTCCTCTTTGATCTTTCTCAACAAAAGTTCGTGAGAATACAAGGAAGACCAAATGTGGGCGGTTTCGGCCTTATCACATTTGGGTAATAAATCCACTATACTACTATGCCATTCTTTAGGTAAAGAAAATAGAATTTTCGTATTAAGCTCGGAAGTAGTATATGTCTTACCCAACTTACTCAATTTGTTGACAATCTTGTTGAACCTCTTGTTCATGTCTTGGATCGTCTCACATGGCACTTTCTTGAACGATTCATACTCCGAGTGTCCTAGGGCAATCATCGTTTGCTTTGTTGAGACATCTCCTTCGTGTGTGGCTTCTAGTAGATCCCATACTTCCTTGGCCGTTTTGCATGTACTCACTCTTGCAAATTCGTCGAGGCCAAGAGAGCAATGGAGGATGTTGATTGCCTTTGCATTCATGGATAATTTTCTCTTATCCTCCAAAGATAAACCTGCAAGGCTACCACTACTCAGCACAAATGGCCCGTGAAGTACATTTAACCATAAATCAAAATCAATGGATTGTATAAAATATTCCATCCGCATTTTCCAATAAGAATAATTTTGGCCATTGAAAAACGGAGGGCGGTAGATGCTTTGAGAATCCATTTGGGCCATATTTCAATAAATTTGAATTTTTAAAAATTGGGAAAATAAAATTTTGAGATTTTAAAAATTCAAATTTAAAAAGGGACACAACAAGTGGTTCTTTGTCGTAGATGTGATTAAGCACTTTCAACTACGAAACCGCTCCGATACCAATTGTTAGTCGGTTTAGACGTTGTGCCCACACCTTAGAGGGGGGTGAATAAGGCGTTTGAAAACTTTTCGGAGTTTGATAAAAACGATGTTGGCAAATGCGGAAGCAATAACTAAAATGCAGAAATAAAAGTGTAAATAAAATGCACACCGATTTTATACTGGTTCAGGAAACCCCTACTCCAGTACCTCGAGGCTCCTCCTCAAGGATTTCCGAATCCACTAAGTCTCGGCCTCTTGAACTCCGTCAAAGCACCGCACTAGTTTTGGCAAACAACCCTTGCCAATAGGATTCACTCCGAGATTTCACAACGGCTATCTCGAACCGTTTACAATGAAGATTTAACGGCTATCTTCTACCGTTCCCCCAAGGATTTCAAAGGCTATCCTTGAACCTTTACCCAAGGATTTAT